ATGTATGTATGTATGTATGTATGTATGTATGTATGTATGTATGTATGTATGTATGTATGTATGTATGTATGTATGTATGTATGTATGTATGTATGTATGTACATATATATATATATTTATATATTTATAGTTTCCATCATCCCCCATGGAGCCAAAGATTCACTGGTTTTTGGATTTGGGGTATGATGGAATAAAACAAAATGTCTCTTTAAAGTGTCTCTTGTTTCTTTTAATAGTGATGTAGCAGTTCATCATGGGTCATCTGGAAACAACTGTTCTTTGTTTTAAATATAGGGGTCAGGGTGCATACGATTACTTGTGGTGTTCTTTCCGGGGGTCTCTTTGAATATAGTTCATGTTGCATAATGTTGGTTGACACACGGTTTATTGTAGGCCCTCAAAACTGTGACTCAGAGCCATCCAAGTATAATGGTTTTGTGTTGGGAAAAGATTTCCTCTCTAACATATGAATATCTAAGTTCATCTGCTGATAATCAAACTAGATCCTGGAGAGGTAATGCGCCCGGACTCCCCGGAGAGAAAGTCATCACAGCTGCCATCAAGGTGAGACACCTAAACCATATTTATACAATTTCAATGTTGTTTGTCCTTCAAATCAATAGTGGTATGGTATGCTCTGAAGTTCACTAGGTGCTAGAGTGGAACTAGCTTGCTTAAGAGTGCCTAGTCGGGTGTATAACTTGCCTAGAAGCGTATGAATCTATGGGGGCCTATGCATTTTTTATAGAACAGTGGTTAAATGAGTTCATGTTGTGTGTTTGCTTTGTTAAGGATTATACTCCGTAACAGTTAAATGCATTAAAATGTTTTGACCAACCATATGAAGTCTTTATGCAACTCTAGGAAGCACAGACACTCCTTAAGATGTTTTACCTGCATATAGGACAGGAGACACCTAAAATGTTTTCTTTTTTTCTTTTCTTAACTTTTTTTTAAAATATGGTGATGTGCAGACACACACACCCTCCATCCCAAATATATTTTTTAAATATATAGTTTTTATTATCAATTTTACACCAACTTTTAAATAGACTGATTTGAAAACAATTTTAATCAACCATTGTAAACCTTAAAGTTAATTTGTTTTGCAGAGAGAGGAAGTGTGTGTGTGTGTATAATGAGACTCATTTTCTCATGATATGCTGCTGAGACGTGTATAGATTGACATACCATGCTCATGGACGTGGCTTTCTATCATGTGGCATAATAATTCAGATATAAACTGTTAGAAGTACATTTTAAGCATTCCTTGAAGATTGTGCTCATTGTTCAACATGCATCTGCTTTCTTTTATTAACCAAGTCTCATGCTCATGATACAGTGTTTGTTTTGTAGCAATTTCACACCCTGACATAAAACTTGTGATATTCTTTTGTCATCACGAAAATGCACTTTATATCTAATTTTCTCTTTTCAGCTGTGACATCTAGCTATGCATTATGTTACATACCCATGTGCAAACAGCTCTACATGATCATCCACTATGATACCTGTTGATGATTATTGGTTAGCGTATGCATATTACAGAACATGAAGCTCCATTAGTATTTTTTTTCTTGATTTTTTTTCAAATCTCCTCACTTGGGAGTGGCTCTTCCCTTTCATCCCAAAGAAGCACATATGATCTTTTTTAAATCAGGGTTTGTTCCAAATGGTTAATTTCTTGTTCTTATCATGTATACTTAGTAGTTTCAGAGTTTTTAACATGACATGCAGGTTTTAGATCAATGTCTTCGTGCTGCTTCTGGATTTAAAGGAACAGAAGATATTTTTGGTGATAAGTCACTTGATAACCCATTTACATCTGATTATGTGAAGATAAAGACTATTTCATCAGCTCCAGCGTATGAGATGCATACCAATGTACCATCTAAAGATGAAGCTGAACCATTATTAGGAAGTGAGCGGTGGCTTGAATTAATTGATAGGCATCTGCCTCTTATGCTTGATCATTCTTCTGCCATGGTTAGTTGGAGTATATCTCTCTGAATTTTTCTCCCAAATGATTTACCATATTATCAAAATTTATGTGCTTAAAAAGAATCAAAGGCTTGCAAGTTTTAAATTGTGAATCTGAATTTGGATCTGAATTTTGGTTGACATTAAAACCCATTGACATTTCAATTAAAGGTTTCCAAGCCTGAGTTTGACTCAGAAAATTTGGTTGACATTAAAATTTAGAAACCGATTAAGGTTATTTTCTAATCTTTTGTTGTTTGTGCAGTCCAATATAAAACAATACTTTATTAGGATTCCACATAATGAATATGTTGAATCTAATATGCAACCATTAACTTTGTTTTTTTGAAATCTTCAGTTACAACATTGGCACTGCTTTAGTGGTGGTATTCTATTTGTATACCTTTTCTACCTGGCTTCTTAGGGTTGCAAAGCATTTGAATATATATGATTATGAGAACAAAAGCACTTAGAAGACCTTAGTTGGAACAAGGGAAGCATGCTGGTTATACTTGTTATCTGTTGGAGTTCCCACATCGGAAAAATAAAGGTGAATATCACTAGCATATATAGAAGGGTGAAACACTACCTATTCACTTAAACTTTTGGGTTAGAATAGTGGATCTTGACTTTATATGCAAGTGGTTAATTTTACTTGACACTCCACCCGTTGTTCTCGGTTCACTGAAACTCATCATTCAAACCTTGAAACTCTTTTACTGCTCCCAATGCCCCCGCCACCATAAACAAAGTTCCTCTAACAACTTCATCAAGCCTTCTCAGACCTGGGTAGGCAACACACTTTGTTGAAGGATATGGAAGCCATGTGTGTTGTGGGTGTAGACATCAGCCTCTGGTTGCCCTCCCGATTCCTCCTTTGACTGTCCCATGCCAGTGTTCCGACTGTTTGAAGAAATAGTCTAGGCACTTGGAATGGGCCTGTCAGCCATCTTAAGTGCTTTTCCTTGTGGTCCCACACAATCGTGGGAAGGCGGCATGCTCCAAGCCACCCAAACCAAGGACCTGGTGTTTGATATCAATGTAGAAATAGAGTAATGAAGTATGTAACTCCTTAGTGTGTACAACTATAGCTATACTTGAAGATTCATATTTTTTCTTACTCATAGCATAAATGATTCAAAACCGTCATCCTTCTTTCTAGGGTTGAGCTACACTTCTTCTTACTTCAGCTTTATGTGTCCAAGACTCCATAATTTACAGTAATGCTCAGAGTATAGTGTTCGTCTGTCATCCACGACCACTTGTTCTTCCACAATTTCTTGTATCACCAGAGTAGATCATTTAGATTTTTCATTTGGAATGTAGTCTCCTGCAAGAGACATTTGAACAACACGGTGGTTCTTGGGACAAAGTTACTTCCAAGAATTTGCTTCTGAGTATTTTCAACTTGTGGAGACCTAATTTGTCTAAAAGATTTGCCAAAAATAATTTCTTCATTTTTGTTAACTTATGCAGCAAACATTCCACCAATAGAGTATAAAACTTAGTCATCCACTATGTTGTCTTCAACTACTGTCAGAGATATATCTAGTGTGTACAGACTTAGCCTGATTCTATAACACCATAAATTTTTTAAATGCTCTACAAAGAGGTACTATTTCTGAAGATATACACATGCCGTAACAGGCTGCATAAGTGGGAATCCATTCTTCTTAAATAGCTGTTTTTGTTTTTAGATTTTACGTTCAACCCCCCTTGTTAAGCGGTCTACAACTTAACAACTTAGACGGCTTGACCCATTAACCACAGTTCAACTACATGAGTGCAAGACGCTACATAAATGGGCACCCATTCTTCTCAAATAGCTTTTTTTGTTTCTAGAATTTACGTTCAACCCCCCCTTGTTAAGCGGTCTACAACTTAACAACTTAGACAGCTTGACCTATTAACCACAATTCAACTACATGATAGCAAGACTAGAAATTCTTAGTAGTAACTTTTAGAGGTAAGAATTAGGGTTATAGAGCTAGAGATGGTGCGGATAGTACTAGTAAGAGACTCACTAGAGCTGCTCAAAGTTTTTGTGAGAATACATTACAACAATCTAATTGAATCCCACAAGAGTAGGGTCTGTGGAGGGTTTGTGTACTGTTAGACAGGATGTCGTCAAACTGTTCAATTGCAGCAATGATCTGCATGAACTTTTTTGGAACTGAACCCAAAAGCTTTTGAACCAATGTTTTGTCTTCAAATGCAGACCCAAGGTTGCTTGCTTGTGTTACAAGTTGACTAATTTTGCTAGCAAAATCATCAAGTGACTCATTGTTCTTCATCTTTAGAATCTCAAGATCTGATTTAAGTCTGTATTCGCGCCGCTTTAACCCTGTCAACACTAAAAAAGTGAGCAACTTGTAACACGATCTCTTCCGGCAAAGCTTGAAACATATATGCTATTGCCATATTTTTTCTTCTTTGGATCGATTTCTATTCCTGGTTCGATCACCTCCTAAATCCCATTAACGTTGAAAATTGCTTTGATCTTCACGACCCAAATAGTGTAGTTTGTAGCAGTTAGAAATGGAACCTTAAAAGATAGTGAACTGTTCTCTCTTGTAGATCTTCACGACCCAAAGCTTGAAATGCTCTGTTTTACAATGTCGTTGATCCCTTCTGCTGTAGATCACACAACCCCTAATCGCAATCCAGACCGCTCTAATACCAATTATTAGACAGGATTGGATTAAAGCATGGTTTTAAAAGGCAAAAAAGGCGGTCCGCCCTGAGGCGGTAAGGCGCTGAGGCGGTAGTTTTTTGCCCCATTTGCGTTCGCACCAAATGATTTCCGCGAGGCGTACGCCTTGATTTATTGAGGCGGTTCGAGGCTGAAGGGCGCTGAGGCGGAAACGAGGCGTTCGCCTTGAAATATAGTCCGTATAAGCCATATTCTGCCCTTTTGAATTTAAGTTATTGGGCCTTCAAATAGTTGGCCCCTTTGAAAAAGTTTGGCAGGAAGCACTACTTAAATATAAATAAATAAAAACTCTTAAAGTTCCAATTTTCCAATCGCACCCCTGCGTGGCTGTCCAGCTTCCGATTCTCTCTCTTTCGCCGTCTCTCTCTTTCGCTCTGGCTTCCCGTCGTTTCTCTCTGGTCGCGGCTTTCCCTGTGCAATTTGGCTTCCTATTCTCGTTTCTCTCTTAAGGTACGAATTTATGATTTCTTGAAGATTTGTTTTAACTTTTTTTTTACTCTAGTAATTTTAAGTTAGCCAATTTTAAGATTTTTCATTATTAAATTTTAAGATTTTTCATTGTTAAATTGTTTATATTATAATTTATAATTACTTTAAATTTAATCTTTTACATATAGTTTGGTTTTACATCAACTTTTTTAGTGTTTTGGTTATCTTGAATCATGATTATCTTATTGCGTTTTTATTTTGCCGCCCTTTTTTGCTTTAAATGAAAACTTATGTATTACTTAATGACTTATTTGACATAATTATGGATTATGCATTTTGTTTACCTAAAAGCTGTTTTGTTTGTTATTTTTTATCAAGTTGATCTGAGGCTTACGCCTTGTTTCGCCTCTAGGCTTACGCCTTGAGGCATTTTCCTCTACCGCCTCGAGGCTAGTTTTCGCCTTTTAAAACCTTGGATTAAAGCAAAACAGAGTATTTTTATTGTTGTGAACTTGTTTCTGAATCTCTGTGTTTTCTAAATACAAATAGAGAATAAACCAACACGACTTTTACTAACCAACACAACTATTAAAAACCAGCACACCTATTTGAAAGACATGACGAAATTAAAGTAAAATCGAATATTTTATTCCTGTAAATTGTACAAGATTATTTGTGCTCTCTAAATATAAATAGAGAACAAACCAACATGACTTTTACTAACCAACACAAGTATTACAAACCAACACACCTATTAATAATAGATACTACCCATAGCTGCCTTTTAGAAACTACCCAGTGTTTTTTTAATTAATTAAATATTTAAAACATACTAAAGGACACCACACTAACTGACTCTATACTAACTGACCCGAACATTGACTCATTACCCATTCGGTTATATGTGAACAAACCCGATTAAATCTAACAATCACGCCCTTAATCGTTGTTTGTTCACACTGATCTTAACATCAACGTTGGTTTATCATCTTCAATCAAATTTGCAAATTGTTCCTTTTGATCCCGTTTTGGACATTCGTTCAAAAAATGCCCTAACTCATTGCACTTGAAACACTTAATGTGACTCTTATCTCGCTGAAATCGACCACCATCCTGACATTTCCACGTCCAAAGTCTTCTCGGTTTTAGCTCCAGCAACCACAATGCTCACATTTGTGCTCTTAAACCTTCTCTTTTTCATTACCTTTAGTGAATAGTAGTTTACCATGTGTATCTCCTTCCTCAGTTGGCTTTTTGATGCGTTTCTTGAATGCTTTCAATCTTCCAACCGCTTCTTGAAACGACATTGTGTTAATGTCAACACACTGTTCAATTGCAGCAATGATTTGTATGAACTTTTCAGGTACAGAACCCAAAAGCGTTCGAACCAATCTTTTGTTATCAAATGCAGACCCAAGGTTGTCTGCTTGTGTTGCAAGTTGACTAATTTTACCAGCAAAATCATCAAGTGACACATTGTTCTTCATCTTAAGAGTCTCAAAATATGATTTAAGTGTCTGTAATCACGCCGCTTTAACTCTGTCAACACCAACGAAGTGAGTCTTCAAAGCATCCCAAATTTCTTTTGTTTCAACAAACTGAGCAACTTGTAGCACGATCTCTTCCGGAAAAGCTTGAAACAAATATGCTATTGCCATATTGTTCTTCTTTGGATCGATTTCTGTTCCTAGTTCGATCACCCCCCAAATCCCATTAACATTAAATATTGCTTTGATCTTCACGACTCACATAGTGTAGTTTGTAGCAATTAGAATTGGAACTGTAAAAGACAGTGAACTATTCTCCCTTGTAGTCACAATCTGTCTATTGTCTTCCATTGCACGACTTTAATTCCTATGAGAATTTTCACAAAATTCATAGACTTTGATTCCTTCCTGGGTTGTAAACCACATGCAATCGACCATCAACTAGAAGACAAGCCCCTGCTTTTACGTCCTCCAAGCCACTAAACAAAAGCTACCCCGCTGATTCGTTTTTCCCGCATTGTTTGGTTGGAATGCTTCTGCTAAAGGAAAAAACTATGAAAAAACTAGCTACTTGCTGTTCTGGTCCTAGGCGAGGAAGAATCTTTTCAAAGATTTTTGATCTGTTGTCAAGCTTTGTTTTATGATCTGGCAACCTTTTTGCTCTCGAACACACACCTCTCGTTCCTGCTCCCTTTGATTGTTTGGTCCTGATTGGATAGTCGTTGTTATACCAATTGAAAGACAGGACCAGATTAAAGTAAAATAAAATATTTTATTGCTGTAAACTTTACAAGATTATTTGTGTTCTCTAAATACAAATAGAGAACAGTTCAACATGACTTTTACTAACCAACACAACTATTACAAACCAACACACCTATTAACAATATAAACTACCCATAACTGCATTTTAGAAATTACCCACTATTTTTTTTAGTTAATTGAATATGTAAAACATACTAAACGACACCACACAAACTGAACTGACTCGGACCCACTGTTTTTTTTAGTTAATTAAATATGTAAAACATACTAAATGACACCACACTAACTGAACTGACTCGGACATTGACTCATTACCCATTCGGTTATATGTAAGCAAACCCGATTAAATCTAACACTACTAACATTAGAAAGTACCCATAACTGCTTTAGACACTACCCAACTATTTTTTAAATTAAATATGTGAAGCACACTAACCGACACCATACTAACTGACCCAAACATTGACTCATATTACCCATTTGGTTATATGTGAACAAACCCGATTAAATCTAAATGTACACAGACCTTACCCTACCCCTATTCAAAAGTAGAGAGAGTTTTTACAAGAGACCCATATCTCGAGTAACACAAATAGCACAACCAGCATAGAAATCAAAGAGAATGCAAAGCACACAAAAGAAGATATAGGCAAACTGAGGTTAACGAAACAAAAATGCAACTAGCGGAAACCACCATGCATAAAAACACAAATTACAAGTGCAAATACTACCTCCAAGTACAAACGCCTACCCAATTACCCTAGTCTTAGCTCTACGCTTCTATCTAAGGTCACATCCTCGTGAAGGGCCAAAAGTCTTATGTATTGTCTAATCACCTCATTCCAATTCCTCCTAGCTCTACCCATTCCCTACTCCCGCCCACCATCTTTACCACCTCACATCTCTGCCACATCAACCTAGCTTCCCGCAACTTGTCCTCCACGGGTGCCACTTCTACTTGTCCTTGTAACCTTGTTTTGAATCCTATCCAGTCTCATCTACTAACTTATCCATCGTAGCATCCGCATCTCTGCTGCATGCCGACGAACATAGGTTTTCTTAACCGCCAAACACTCTGTACTGTACCACATAGCTGGTGTGACTACAAACGATAGAATTTCCATTTCATCCTAGCCAAAATATTTTTGTCGCGTAGAACCCCTAAAGCTATTTTTCACTTAGCCCGTACTGCTCAAATACGGTGTTTGGCTTTGCCAGAATACATTGTTGGCTGAAAAATTTCTGATCTTACATTAAAACTGTAATGGGTCAAATTCCACCACCGACACATTGTTAAGGAGCCAACATAGTTATTTAAGGCGCGATGCGCACCGATACACCAAGGGGATCTGGAGCCTCGCTGCGCAATGCGCCATCATTGCGCACACATGACGAACATGAGACGCAAGTTGTGGAGTAGTAACATAGTAGCTCTAAATTTAGTAAATTAGCAACAACACACTCACACACAGATATATATATATATATGTGTGTGTGTGTGTGTGTGTATGTATGTATGTATGTATGTATCTATCTGTGTGTGTGTGCGTGTATGTGTGTGTGTTATTGTGAAAGACATACGCGTAATAAAATTTAAGAAAGCAACAAAGAATCAAAGTCTCACGAAGTACCATTAACATAAAAAACCTAAAGTCATAGTTATGAATGGCGAGTGGCAGGCGAGAGCACAATTTTTGTGGCAAATGGCGGGCGGTCAAATGGCGAACATAAAAAAGCGAGTATAAATAATATATATATATATATATATATATATATATATATCTGTGTGTGTGTGTGTATATATACTCCCTCCATCCGGAAAAGAAGTTCCAGAAAAAAGCGAGTATAAATAATATATATGTGTGTGTGTGTGTGTGTGTGTGTATAATACTCCCTCCATCCGGAAAAGAAGTTCCCGGTTTGACTTTTCCTCATTTTTAATAAGTGTTGACTCTAGGCATAATTTGTCTAAAATGCCCTTGGCACCAACCCTTGACTTGAAGGCCTGCCCCAACTCCAATTTCCGATTTGACTTGCCACCCCCAACACCATTGCCGCCCCAACTCCCACTACCACCAGCCCCACCGCCGCACCCAGCCTATCATCACTGTCGGCCCACCATCTTTGTTAGACCCCACCACCATCAATCAAACCCCACCATCACCGCTAACCCCTGCCACCATCGCCACCGCTGACACCATCGCCGGCAACCCCCGCCACCATCACCCCAACCACACCGTCATTGCCCACCCTACCATTGCTCCAAACCCTCACCATCGTCATACTTGGGAAAACGAGATAAAGAAGTAAGGGAGAGAAAGAGGAGACGAAAAAGAAAATGATGATGATATTAAAAGCATAGATTTGCATAGGTCTATCGCAAATCTCCGTAGATCTGAGAAAACATGCAGGGGAATGAAGGGGGAAAAAGTAGGAGCCAATTTGGGGGAAAGAGGAGGGATAGAAAAGAAGGGGGATTCTGGTAGGGAAGAAGAAGAAGAATGTGAGAAGAATAATAAGGGGATCGGGTGGGGGGAGAGAGACAGAATAATGAAAAGATTAGAAATAAAAAGGGTGGCTGGGGAGGGATAGAGCCAGGAGAAGAGGATTGTGAGTGGGAAGGGTATGTTTGGAAGAATGGGTATGAAAACGTATAATGGGAACTTTTTTTCCGGATGAAAAAAAGCGTAGAATGGGAACTTCTTTTCCGGACGGAGGGAGTAATATTTTAAAAGGAAAAAATCATTATTTTTCTAAATTGAAAGATTGATATAGAAATTGAAAATATAATGGTAAGTATTGGACCTAAAAAATTTGTAACTATTAATATTAATTAATTGAATAAACACAAATTAAAAAATAATAATTAAGACGTTGGGAGCCTGGGATGCCCTTCGATAATGGTAAAAATTGGACTAAAATAATAAAAATACCTTGACCTGGGTCGCTGAAAAAGGAAAACGCTGGGAGCCCGGGTTGCGACTTTGGCGATTGTAACTTCTGCTAGTGCAACTGACTGCGCAGGTTGATTGGAAGAGGGGATCGACGATTGGGAGGTGATCGAAACTTGGCCTGCGACTTCTGCGAGTGGGACTTCGACTTCGCATGTGGATTGGAACTTGGAAGCGATGAAGATAAGGGAATACGATCGATTAAGTGCCCAATTTAATTAATCCAATAATTTACAGATCTGTATGACGACAATGGCGCTCGCCTAATGCCATAAACCTCTGCAAGAATGGCGATCGCTTTTTAGTGCCTCAAGGATATCGCCATGCACAGTCCAATCCAAGGCTCGCCACAGCGCCTTAACTGCCGTAGGCGAGCATGGTGGACACCATTCATAACTATGCATAAAGTTCAAATAACAAAAGCAGCCACTGGAAAAAAACATGCCACAAACAAACAATGAGTTGTGGAACATCAAACGATGAGTGAAGCCTCAAATGTCATCCTCATCAGCAATGCCAGTCTCCTCCATCAAAATAGTGTATGTGAAGGGAGAGAAACAAAATTAAGTGATAAACAAAAAAGGGGATGCCGGATGCCTCACGAACATCGCCCGCATCACCAGGAAGAATGTGCTGAGCCCTGCGCCTCACACGATGCACGCTTTTCACAACTTTGGGAGCCAAGGAGAACATTTGGTGCATGGTAGCGGTTATGAAGCCTAAAAGGGAATGATTATGTAAGCTCTAGAGTCAACTGATATCGTGAATTTTTTAGAAGCATGCATCAAGAATGAGTCATTTGAGTTATAGGGTTTTGGATAAGTAGTAACTTTATTACTCATGGCATGATATATTATCTGGCCAGAAACTCAATTTTTTCTTCATATTTTTGTGTTACAATGACCATGATATATTGTCAAATTTCAATTAGTGTCTTTTAATGGTTTTGACATTCCTCCCAAGTCCTAATTAGCATACTTTTCATCCATCTGCCAATTTGTCGCTTGAATAATGTGTTTCTTTGTTAGAAGCATCTCTGACTTGTGTTGAAGGTTGACTTCATTTTCTTCCAAGTGCTTGCTTGCTTGCTGCTTACCAATTTATATTGATACTAGGGAACTGCGGTGTCTGTCACAAACAACGCCGCATTGTGTTTGTAATTCTAAATCTCTAGTACTCTGTAGACTGTAATGAGTAGAAGTTGGTTTTACACTTTTTAAAAATCTAATCAAATTATTTATCTGAAAGGTGAGGGCTACAGCAGTGACGTGCTTTGCTGGAATAACATCTTCTGTATTATTCTCTTTGTCGAAAGCAAAACAGGAATTCATTCTTTACTCTTCTGTAAGCATTTCAATCCTCCAATTATGCGTTGGTGTATTTTTAGTGATACCCAAGTTTTTTAATAGATTTTTTTCCCATTCAAAAAGGGCTAGTGGCGCACTTTGTTGCATTTGCCTTCCATTTAGATGTATTCGTCAACAAACAGTTCTGATAAAAAATGACCTAAGATTGGCAGTATGTGAGTAGTGATACTTATTGTCATCTTTGTAGATCAGCTCTGCTCTAACTGATGATGCTCCTTCAGTCAGGTCGGCTGCTTGCCGTGCCATTGGTGTAATTACTTGCTTCCCACAAATATTTGACAGGTAACCCGATCTTTTTAAATGTCTACTTTCTACAGAGAAGTGAGCAAGTTTTTTACTGATCCATTGTATAGTGTAGAGGTCTTTGAAAAGTTCATCTATGCTGCTGAACACAATAGCCGGGATACATCAGCATCTGTAAGTTATTCCTTATCCTGCCTGTGATTTGTTTCCTTTGTATTCTTATTGCTTTCCCTTTCAGGTCCGAATAACAGCTTCCTGGGCTTTAGCAAATATATGTGATGCCCTTTATCACCATGTTAATTTAAATGGTTTTGATCCACATTCTTCGGGTGAGACTATAACTTATTATCTTGTTTCTTTTATTAAGGCATGTAATCAATGCCTCGGCTGACTGCAATTTAAATATTGTCAAATATTTAACACTCTTTAATTTCATAGATTCAGAAGGAAGTTCTAAATGGGTCTCATTGCTAATTGACAGTTCGTTGCAACTTGCAAAAGATAATGACAAGGTGAACATTCAACTCTTTTCAGCTGAGGCTGCAACTTAAGCTTAGAGATTTCTGAAGCTATGTTTACAATGGAAATTTGTAATTATCTGATATGGTCCACCACTTAAAATAAGATATGGTCCAGAGAATAATAACAGTCTAGTATGGTTACAATTAGGTTTGATAAACTTAGTGCCTCCGTCCCATGATCTTTGTCATGTTTTACTATTTTGCCTATCCCACTATCTTTGTCCCATACTCCCATTCCATATATCTGATATTTGTGTGGTCCAAAATCTACCTATCCTTATCTATACTTTACATATGCAATATTACCATATAGTTCCACTTTTTTCTTGTTTTGCTTGGTGTAACCCCATCTCCAAAACTTAGTGGGACCAAGGGAGTAATATTTTTGAACTTTACCATGCCTTGGCTGTTGAAGTCTTTATGTATCTGTGATATGCTTAATTAAGGTTATTTGCAATTTATTATTTGAATGGTCATTGTCTTAAATTGCTTAAATAGTGAAAATGGAAATAGCTAACCACTAAGTTACACGGTAATCTGTAATAGTTGTTCTCCCTTCACAACTTTCTATTTTTGTTTGTTTGTTCATTCCTACATTCAACAAAGTGGCCTTATCTGTTCCATGTTGAACCTAACTAGATTGGATCAATTCTAAGGGATATAAATGTTGTTTCCCTCTGATTTTTCAAGTAACATGTTACTATGCATGCATGGTTCTAGATCAAAGCAAATGCTGTGAGAGCTTTGGGGAACCTCTCAAGATTTGTTCCATTCAAAAATAATTCAAGTGCTTATGATAGCGCCGGAAAATGTACTGGACCTCTGACATGTAGCTCTGTAAAAGGTTTCAATAAGAGTGATGATCCAATCGGCAGTCCTAGTCCAAGCAAGAATCAATTGGAAGAATCACATTGGCTTGAAAAGATGGTTCAAACATTTCTTTCTTGTGTTTCAACCGGAAATGTCAAGGTAAATTGCCCACCCATTCCATTTTTTAAAACATCACAGCATCACTTAAGATTAATGTTGAGACTTGAGAGAGATCACTTGTATCTAGTTCTCTTAAATGTGGAATGGAATGCCATTCCATTCAAAGTATGCTAAGCCTGCTAATTGTGTGCTAATTAAGGGGCTAGTGTGCCATAAGTTTATAATACTATCATAGGTTTATAATACTATATTGTCTGTTTTATTTTCTGCAATATTTAACAATGGTGTTGTGTACTCCCTCCTTCCTTAAACTAACTTCTCAGTTTGACTCGAGTTCATTTTTAAGAAAGAGTAAAAATTTTGTCGACTTTCCAAATAAGCCCTTGCCTCCAGAAGCTGAGATTTATATGGTCCACGCCATTATTGGGTTCCAAAAGAGATGAATTTCTAGAAAGGGAAAGAACATTTTTCATTAAATAATTTAACAAGACCCAAACAATATTCATTAGAAAAATTAAAAATTATGAAAAAGTTTCTTTCAATTATAATGAAAGAGCTTCAGGATTCTTCATTTTCTTCAGCCGATTTACACACATCAACACACACAAATGGCACACAGGTGACGTTGATCTCAGTTACGACATTATTGTTGCCCTCTTTGTCCTCATTATTATGGATGATTGAGTCTTGTTCAAGAATAACACATAGGATGAGAAAGTTCTTTGAATCGATATGTGTTTTGTAGAAGAAATTGACAGGTATGAAAGAGGAAGGATTTGTGAGTCACAGGTGAAAGATTGACAGAGAGGAGAGGGGCCAGAACTAGTTTTCGCAGATGAGAGTGACGAAGAGGAGATATGGGTGGGTCTAAGGTTTGAAGTTATAGAAGAGACATTAACAGAGAGTGGAGGTGCGATGAGTTGAAAACAAGTGGGTTGGAGTGGATGAGTTGGTTGGGGTTGTATATGTCATTTAACATATTAAAATATTTCATTTTAAGTAATGTGAAGATAGTTTTAGGACGGCCCAAAAAGGAAAGTGAGAAGATATTTTTAGGACGTAGGGTGTATAATTTAATTTGGATGTAGGGGATTTTGCGAGGGAGGTTAGTCAATTTTATAGTACAAGTACGACCAAAAGCTAGTGTGTGTGTTTGGTTGACATCCTTATATTAGTTGTTTGTCACCAAAATGCTTCTCACATGGGCTTCTTTGGAAAGCATTTTATTTTATGTATTTTTGTACACCACCAAAATGGTAGTCTTTTCATCCTGATACTATGCTCACATTTTCTCTGATGCGTTCACATTTTCTGTTTTGGAATGTATGAAATAATGTTCTAATTTTTTTTCCATATTGAAATTATTTTTCTTTCCTCTGCATCAATCCTAGCCATACGATTTCTACTTTTTTAGGTTGTGTAAAAAGAAAACAGTGACTTTAATATGGGATGAAGGGAGTAATTCCTATGATCAAGCAGGTACAAGGATAACAATGTGTTTAATGCTTCTGAATGTTTGAGGGAACATGAGTCTTCTACTAGGTGAGATGGGGGAGTTTGAGAGCCTTCAAAGTTTTAGGTACGGTCAAGGCCAGATATGAAGAGGTGGTGAGGCCACAGTAGGATGAGAGTGGGGAGAGCCATGAGACCAGATGAGATCCTTGTGGGTTGGTGTGGATCACCAAATTGTTTAGTCTAATTTCCAGGATGGCTAAGAAGCCTAGTGAGGCCATTAGTAGGATGAGAGTGAGGAAAGCCTTGAGATCAAATGAGAGTCCTATGGAGTTTTGGAAGGTTGCGGGAATGCGGGCAGGTGTAGGCTGGTGCGGAACACCAGGTTTAATGCAATTTTCAGGACGGCTAAGATGCCGAGCGAGTAGAAGGAGCATGGCGTGATCTCGTTGTATCAGGGCAAATGTGATATGTAGAGCTGTTATAATTATAGAGGCACCAAACTTCACAGTCACACCATGAAGATTTGAGAGCAGATTATTCAGACTAGGTTGAGGAAGGAAGTGAGCATTTCTAAGAATCAATTTTGTTTCATCCAATGTTTGAAATGGCATTGCGCAATATGCCATATTACCTGCTAGAAGGCTAACCATAGGCCGTATGGGTTTCTCAGTAATGGTGCAAGAAGGCTACACAATGAGGCATACACAATGAGGCATATGCAATGAGGCGGAAGGAGGCATACACCATAAGAAAAATTAAGATTAAGTTAAAAGTTGTAATTTTATTAGAAAAATTTAACCCTTAAGCTACTGGACCCTAGTTTATCAACTCTTCTTTAACCCTTAAAATTTAACTCTTCTTTGGTCTTACATGTTCAACTCTGTGTTCTTCATCTAGAACTTCATCCCTCTCCGGTGGTCTTCATCTTCTCTTTGGTCTCCCTTTCTTTTTTTACTCCCTCCCTCCCAAAAAAAATCACACTCATCACTATTCAAAATTTGCGAAAACTCTTGTTTATTTATGCGTTTTGGTTGATTATTCAATAAAATAAAATATTCTTGTTACCTCTTGTTTTGTTGAACTTTTGACGTAGTTTTTGAATATGTAAGTTTTATTTTTGTTTTCTATACTAATCTTTAACTAAAATGAATTTAAAAAACTTAAAAATTTGCTTCGGTGTAAAACATTTCAGGATGGAGGGAGGATTAGTTTTAATTCATTTATATTTGTTTTAGTGATAACATTTTATTCTCATTAATTTGCTATTCATTTAATGCTTTCAGTTTCTATCATTACCACTTTGCCATTAAAACATGAAAACTTTATGTACATAAATATTTACTTTTATCTTTTTAGTATAACAAATTGCGTATAACATTCGGCAATTTAGGTCTGTTGCTTACAACCAATATTTTGTACTATGTCATGGTAGACGTTGACACATTGTTTCCTTTGAAACATTTTACATTAACAATATATTTTGATGTTCATGGATTCATTATGCAATTAATAATGTTCTATCTTTAATTAGAATAATATTTTATGCACATCTTACTATCCCAGTACTTTAAAATGAAGCTTATGCATCAAAACACTTCAAGGCTTATGCAATATGCTTTGGGGGAAAATGCCTCAATACCGCAATACGCCATTTCGAACATTGGTTTCATGCCTGACCGGTGGTCATTCACCTCTTGAGAAGACTGATGGAGCAGTATAGAGACAAGAAAAGCGAACTAGAAATGGTGTTTTGACTTGGAAAAGGTATATGATAGAGTTCCTTGTGAGATCTATAGATGTGTGTGGAGTATTGAGGGCTTGGTTGATTACATTCGTGTTGTTAAGGACATGTATGATGGCGCAAGAACCAAGGTGAGGTCATTACAAGATGACAGACAACTTCCCTGTGGATATGGGGTTACATAGGTCCTGTTCTTAGTCCTTTATGGTTTGCTTTGGTAAATGGTGTTCTGACGCAAAATCCTAATTGACAAGACAGAAGATGGAGTCAGCAATATGTTAGAAGCATGAAGAGTTTAAACTGAGCAGGACTAGGACTAAGACCGAGTACGTAGAATATTGCTTCAGTGGTATAAGGTCCGAGTAGGAAGTGGAAGTGAGGATTGATTCACATTCAGTGCCTAAAAGGGACAAAGTTCTGATACTTTGGATCTATCATTCAGAACAAAGGGGGAGGTAGATGGAGATGTTGTTCATCACATTGGTGTCGCTTGGCCAAAGTGGAATCTTGCTTGAGGTTTCTTTTGCAAGAAGAGGATGTTGACAAATCTGGATGGGAAATTTTATTGGACAATAAGCTACTCACCTTTGGAGTCTACAAGTGACAAATACGAGGATGCTGAGATGTACATGTGGTTTTAAAGCTGCAGTAAGCTAGATTGAGACGGTTTGGACTTTTGCCTCTAAAGAACCCTAGATCCAATCTTCCTTCCCATTTTGTCCCCCTCTCGAGAACCCTAGCATCACAGTCTTTTCTCTCTGCATTTCTTTAGTTTCATTCTTTTCATATGGATTCAGTGGCTGTCTGTTTCCTCTATGTTATCCCCAAAATTGATATCCAATGTGAAGGGGCCTACGCTGGCTAGGAGGATGACAACTCTTTCAATGTCAACCATGGTTATCAATGGGACAAGTCGAGTCGAGTCGGTGGAGAAGAGACTAGTGGACTAGTCGTAGACTAGTCGACAAATTACAGTAACTAATGAAATTTTTAAAATTATTTATTTCTTCATTCACCAAGGATAATAACTATTTAGGGAATATATTTTTATACGATGAAGTACCATTACCATAACAAAATTATGTTTAAAGGTAGTGCATAAACTTACATAACAAAGACAACGTAAGGAACAAATATCCTTAATTCTTCAAGCCCAACAATCTAACAAAGATAACAATTAATCAATACAAAAATAATTTATTAAAATATGTTTTTTATATGACAGAGGTTTGCTCTCAATAAAAGTAAAAACTTTGTTGTAGGTTCAATAAAAGTGAACTTTATTCTTAAAAAAAAGTAAAAAAGTAGTTGTATATGCCTATTTTAGGAGGGAGTTTTTTAAAAGCCTTATTAGAAAATTAGGTCTTGCGTAGATAATCCCACTAACGTTTGAACCAACCCAAATATTATGACCTATCTGGGCAGCCGTAAATAACAAAGAGAGGGTTTGAGATTCGCTTGACATAGTGAAACGCGATATGTCCAGTCCGTAAGTCGATGGTGGCGACAATGAAATCAGAGATGTAAGTCTTTCTTCTTCCTATCTTCATCTTCTTCTCTTTCATCTTCTCTCAGTCATGGAGCCGTCTGCACGCATTTTGAGATTTTCAAGGTCTCCAAGCCGTCTCCGTGCAACATAGCAGTTCTAGGCGCTAGTCGATGGCCAAGTCGAGCTCTCCAAAACTACCGGACGACTAGTCGTGGACTAGTCGGAGACTAGGTGACGACTTAACAACACTGATGTCAACAGATCTTTATGGGTTCCACCATGGTGTCACTGTTTTCCCAGTGAACTAACGACCCCTAATTTAAAGATATATCTACAAGATTACATATACATTTCCTATATTACTAGTGGATGCTTTTATTTCCTTTTTGTATGCTTTAAAATGTTGTAGACTTTTCTATAATATAAACCACAATTCTGTTTCCCTTCCGATGAAAGTTAAAAATATAATCCAACTCATTTTGGACTAATAACGGAAAATATGCACTTTTCTAGTCCATCCTTACTGTAGTAAATAGAACTTTTGCAGGATAGAGGGGCTGGTTGAGGTGGAAGATAGTGTGAGTTTGGTGTATTTATTTATTTATTTCATTGCCTTTTCTAAAAATATTATATCATTTAAATCAGTTGTAAAACCATAAACAATTAAATGAACTCATGTCCTTTCACACAAGTTCTATGGGGTACAGGTTAATTTTTTCACTGCCTATAACCTTGGTTTTTAGCTTGAACGATCAACCTGCTCTCCAAATTTGTCCAAATTAAGAAACAAAGATTGCATTCCCTCCAAAGTTGGCCAATTGAGAAGAAAAGATTGCTTTTGTATTGATAGACTGGAAGTCATTCATTTCATAACCTGCTATGTTTATAATATGTTTATTTTTTTGTAGGTTCAGTGGAATGTGTGTCATGCATTGAGCAACTTGTTTTTAAATGAAATGTTAAATTTGCAAGATATGGACTGGTAAGCAACTAATTACAAAAGTACTACTATACTAGTTTTAAGGTGATTCCTCTTCTGTGATAGAATAAAGCTATAAAATTTTCCTCCTTTCACCTTTTGTGAATACTCCCTCCGTCCCATTAGTTTGTTCATGATTGGACCTCTGGGATCAAAATTTGTGACGTTTGCCCGTGATTTGTGTAAAAAGTACGTTGAATTATAATGTGAAATTAATATCATTATTCATTAGATCTGATTTAAAAGTTGTTGTGAAAGATTAAATAATTACGGAGTATAATTTTTTTTTCATATATAGGGTTACGTATAGCAATGGTTAAACATGAACACAAGACAAACATGAACAAAATTATGGGACAGGCCACGGGGGAAGCTTTTTGAATCAGTAGCTCGTTTAGCTTTTAATAAGACACCTGCATCTTCTCTGAATTCTCTCTTATAAGAAAGACAACGACTTATGGAGACTATCTTTGCATTATGTATACTTGTGTATCATGACATCTTGTGATATGGAGTGCAAGCCTTCTTTTCCTCTCTATCATATGTTCTATTGCCGCACATAGTATCAACAAGGAACTGGAGTTCAGATTCAGAGCTATTTTGGTCGTCAGAACACGCTTCATTAATTTTTTAAAAAATATATCTTGACCTTTTTCCTGAACACTTACCTTTGATTACATGACAGAGAGTGTCAGCTCCCTGTTTTGGATTTTTGCAACCATTCGACGAGATGACTATTGTTTTCTGACGCTAGAACTTCCTGCGTATGGATCACCTATGCCTAACCACCGTCTCTATTGCCGTTGCCTTCAAATCTCGAATACCACCTGGAGATCAACGACTGAAATTGAAACGAGTAAGGTTGGGACCAAACAATTTCGAGCTGAGTTGAGTTCAGGAGGTGGAATCTTTTGTTAAAGATTTAGAGCTGTTTGGGATCATTCAAGCATAGTTGTTATGGTGTTCCCTAATCATCCCCTAGGCGTTGCCTAGGTGGTATGGTACTCTGCGTAGGAAATCGCGACAAATGCCTCACCTCACAAATTACATCAAGCGCTATATCAAGCGCTGAAGTTGTCACATTGGCGTCGGGTAGTCGTCACAAGATCGTCAAATTTGCCCTTCGCCTTGTGGAATCTGCTTGGTAAATTGTGGGATCCGCGGGGAACAGTTCATCGCTCCACTCTCTATTAACTCTAGTCTCTTACTCTCTTAGCAGATCGCAATAGGAGCTAGGCAATCCTCTTCGTCAACTTCCATCAACTCACTTCACGTTTTTAGTTGATTATTATGTTAGACAGGACCAGATCAAGGCAAGTAGAATATTTTATTGATGTAAACTGTACAGGAATATTTGTGTCCTCTATATATAAATAGAGAACAGACCAACATGACTTTTACTAACCAACACAACTATTACAAACCAACACCCCTATTAACATTAGAAACTACCCAAAACTGCCTTTTAGAAACTACCTGTAACTGCCTTTTAAAAACTACCCAACTATTTTTTATTTAAATTAATTAAATATGTAAAACACACTAAACGACACCATACTGACCGACTCAAACATTGACCCACTACCCATACCGTTATATGAAATATGTGAACAAACTCGATTAAATCTAAATTATTATTATTATCATCATCGTCGTCGTCATCATTAGCATCATATTCTACGCCACTTTATTAGCAACTTGCATAAGCCCCAACTTGTCTTCCTTTTAATTGAAATTATTTACTATATAGTAATTAAAGTCTAGTAGTATAATATTTACAGTTATTATAAGTATTATTATTAGTTACTTGATATTTTCTACTCCCTCCATCCTAATTTATTTTTTCGTGCAAAATCTCATCGCTTTTAAAATGATTTTATTTACAAATTGGTATAGAAATAAAAACTATAATCTACGTCGTTTAAAACTACATCAAAAGTCCTACAAAACTAGAAGTGACAAGAATATTTTATTTTATCAAATAATCAAGGAAAATATGCATACAAACATAAGTTATCGAGAGGCATAATAGTAGCTTGGAAAATTAATTGGGGTTTGATAAATTACTCTTTACTTCAATCATATTTTTCAATCTTCTAAAGTACACATGATATATATATATATATATATATATATATATATATATATATATATATGAGAACGTCTAAAATGACACCAGTTACTTATACACCAGGGTAGGGAGGGGGGGCTGGGGTGAGGGGAGCAAGGGTGGGGCTGGGCTGGGGGGTTTAGGAGGGGTAGGAACCGTCGTTTTTACAAACAAAGCACCATAGGTACCCCAAACGAACTGGTGTAATCAAATGACACCAGTACCACTGGTGTCATTTTAGACTTACCGTGTCTATATATATATATATATATATATATATATATATATATATATATATATATATATCTGGTGTCATTTGCTTACACCAGTTTGTTTGGGGTACCTACGGTGCTCTGTTTTTTTAAAAACGACGGTTTCTACCCCCCCTAACACTCCCGCTAAACCCCCCACCCTTGCCCCCCACCCCAGCCCCCCTCCCTACCCTGGCAGTACCCAGAGTAGGGAGGGGGGCGGGAGGGGGGGCTGGGGTGGGGGAGTTTAGGGGGAGGGTTAGGGGGGTAAGAACCGTGGTTTTTACAAACAGAGCACCGTAGATACCCCAAACGAACTGGTGTAAGCAACTGGTGTATAAGTAACTGGTGTCATTTTAGACGCTCTCATATATATATATATATATATATATATATATATATATATATATATATATATATATATATATATATATATATAAGGAGGTGTCTCTGTGCTTGTGTTTATTGGCTTATTGTTGATGAGCAGTTTCTAGCTTATAAGTCAAATATTCTTTCATGGAAGTAAAATGACTTAAATGATAGATAAGTCACTGGAAAATATTCATAAGTGATGATGGACAGTTTTTTAAATAATCTGATCAAAATGAAGTGACAATAAAACTAACTTTAAAATAAGTAGCTAAGACCTTAAAACATGTCATTAGCTGAGTTATAAGTTAAAAATTGTTTATAAGCAGTTTTGACGGGTTTATAAGCACAGAGAAACACCCACATAATATGTCTGTGTTTACATATTGTCGTTTGTGCGATGTGAAAGTCCGTTGTCCCCTCACCACAACTATATGTTCCTCTCACACTTAGAAATGTGGCACAAGAATCTTTTTTTACTAATGGTTCGAGCCAAGCATGCGCATGATAGGGAGCCTCATGAAGCCACTATGGTGCATTTCATCAAGGGTTTGGACGGGAGATAGCGAGCGAGGTGGACGGTCACAACTTTGTTGATTTTGAAGACTTTGTGTATGCCAAATATTTACCACCAATTGGAAATCTTTGGAAGCACTAAATGCCTAGGGAAAGGACACTTAAACAGATAAAATTGAGGTTAAAAGAGATGAAGATTTATGGCTTTAGGCTTTGGGTACATGGCATCAATTTGTCCTAACGAGTGGATGGTTATCATGAATAAGATCTGAGAAATAGAGCCTAAAGATGTAGAGGAACAGAAAAGGATGAAGAGAGTGATGGGGATGAATACAGACTATCTTTTGTTGCATAAAGAGTATCCAATGAGGGATGTGAAGTAGGATTTGGGGAGAAGAAGAATGCGTTGAATAGTTATTGCATGATTACTGAGAAAGTATGTATGGAAATTGGTATTGTTGGTCTTATGTAGGTAAATACTATATAGACCTAAGGCCAACTTTTAGTCTAATTTCACATCGTTTATTTTGTTTTCACTAATTCGATCATTTGATAAAGACGATGAATTTCATCTTTTCCTAATGAATAATTCAATTCCGCACTTAACTTTTTTATCTTTTTTATTGCTTGTATTAAACTTTCATTTTCAGTTTAAGTTAAGTTGTTTTTAGTGCTAAAGTAGCCTAGTAGAACTGTACCATTTGTATTGCATAACATTTTAATTCTTCGTCCTAATTTACTGAAAAGAGTAAAGACATAGATAATTCTTTTTAGGTATATGTTATGTGTAGAGGGTGTAGTCCTATTTAGCCATTTAGGTTCCTTTATTTTCACTTATTCTACTTGTCTCTTGGAAGCAGCCTCCTTGCTCTCAAGTAGGGGTAAGGTCTGCCTATACACACCCTCCAAGGCCCTACTTTTGTGGGATTTTACTGGGTTTGTGGTCGTTATTATCGTAATTTTCATTTATTCAATCAATTGGCAAAAATGAAAAGTTTTAACTGTTTCTGGGAAAAAATCTAATTATCATTCGTATCCTTTTGAAAATATGTTTTAATTGCTCATATTTAGTTTTCATTTTTGAAATACTCCATAATTTTTTATTTAAATTAACTAGTTTTTGAACATGGTGCTAAACCTAACCTAGTAGAACCATTCTTATATGGTACATCTTTTGTACATCCAATATCAATTCGTCAACCAATATATTACTCGAACCAGTTATATAACTACATATCTAAGCGGCTGAGCCTAACAAAAGTACAGTTATGAATTTGTTAACTTTGAAAAAATGACCCATAAAATACAAGTGAAAAAAAAATTAAATGAGAAAAAGCTAAGCACTATCTGTTTATAACTGTGGTGATGAGCAGAATTATAAAATAAAAAACATAAGTATGAAAAGAAGATATACATGAAAAGATAAAAAAAATTCAATTGAGAATAAGCTAAGCATTCTCTGTTTATTAAAAAAAGTAAACAATATAAACCAGGAAAACATAAAATAACAAGCAGAATTATAAAAGTAAAAAACATAAACATTAAAAGGCAAGAAAATGAGTGTTAATTAAAAAAGAATTGAGCTATCGTTAAAAAGATTACATAATATTACCGAATGCATGTACATTCAGACATGAGATGTAATTTGGAGCTGTATCATGAGCAGAATATAACCGATTATGTGCCTCTATCCATTTCTTTTCTGTTTGCACAATGTTCATCCATTCCCGTTAATTTGAGCAATTAAGTTTCGCAAGCATGTTTCTAAGGTTTGAACTGGTGTCAAGATTAGGATGTTGTGCTTAGTGAAGAGTTCTCTACATGCAATTGAATGTAAATAGTTTTCTTAATGCAATGATGTTTTGATTTGCAGGGCACCTTCAGTCTTTAGCATTCTGCTGCTGCTGCTGTGCAATTCCACTAACTTTAAAATTAGGATACAAGCAGCTGCAGCTTTGGCTGTCCCAGCAACCATCAGTGGTGAGTACTTAAGCCCTCTTTTCCACTAACTTCTCAAGTCCTGGAGTTATTTTTTATGCATTTTTATTTAGTTACATTGTGAAATTTATACTGTCCTTATCTTTATGAAGCAAGTAAATAAGAAAATGTTTATGGAAAGGAATGGCTAAGGAATCAATTGCATAATCATTAAAACCATTGCTGTTTCAGAATATGGAAGATCTTTCATGGATGTCCTTCAAGGCGTGGAGCATGTCATTGAAAATCTAAGGTCGGATCAGATTTCAATGCCATCAAATTTGAAGTATAGGGTTGCACTTGAAAAGCAGGTATCAATCATGAATATGGACTTTCATCATTACAAGCTCACGACTTACAACCTCTGTCATTCTAATTGCCAACAAACTACTTACATTTAAATTGAGAAGACTTAACTATGTGGTGTGTGTGTTCGCCATAAAATGCTAATAAATGGTTGTAAATTCTCTTGGTAATAGGTAATTTACAAATGCATAACTTTAATGTTGAATACCATTTCAATGTTCTCCCCTTTAAGCAGAAGCGTATAAAACTGATTCACACTTGCTGTACATAATTCCCAACACAAAATGACTTGACAGATGCTGAATATGGAACCTGTATATTAAAAAACTGAAAACTTGAACACTTAAAAAAGGCGCTGGTTCATTCCATTTTCTCCTTGGTCATGGTGGCTAAACTTGACATGCATAGTAACACTTCTATGTATATTTTACTAATCAAAATGTGTGTCATTGGGGTATTGAAAGAAAGATATAATGAAAAAGATATATTGAAAAAATAGTGGAAAAGATATATTAAAAAAGATGTAATGATAAAAGATATATTGAAAAAGATGTTATGAAAAAGCTGTGTCTGAGGATATATGTACTCCCTCCGTCCCACTCCAAAGGCACTCCTGCCATTTAAACGGACACGCTGGAAAGGATGGAAGTGGGTATGAACAAATCCATGGAGGGCATGGCTTTGGGGTAACGAACGCAGAAGGTAAAACCATCCTAGGTTTCTCTTCGACCTTCCAACTTCTTATTGCAAACACTTGTTTTCAGAAGCTAGACGAGCATCTTATATCTTATAAGAGTGGGATGACATGCTCTCAAATTGATATCTTTTTTATAAGGAAATCGGATTGAAAATTTTGTACTAATTGTAAAATTATTCCTGGAGAGAGTTTGACCACCCAACATAGAGCGTTAGTTTTGGATTTTCATATCCAACAAAAGCTCAGGAGAAGTCGCCAAGAGGGGAACCTAAAGACTAGATGGTGGCAGTTGAAAGGTGATAAGCAAATGGATTTCCAAAGCCGTTTAGTAGAAGAAGCAAAATAGGATAGACATGGAACTGCGGAAGAGTTATGGTGGAATATGGTAGATATCATTAGAAAGGTGGCAAACGAAACCCTTGGAGAAACTAAAGGTACTAATGCAAGAGACAAAGAATCATGGTGGTGGGACACTAGTGTGCAAGAGAAGGTAAAGGTAAATCGAGAACGTTTCAAGGAGTGATCTTTATATCGTAATGTGGAAAGTTGGGAAAGGTATAAGACAGATAAGACGGAGACAGAAGTGGCTGTAACTGAAGCAATAATAAGAGCGTATGAAGGGTTTTACCAGTCCTTGGGTACGAAAGAAGGGGAAAGATGTATTTACAAGATTGCAAAGGGTTGAGAAAGAAAGATGCGGGATTTAGACCAAGTTGAGTTCATTAAAGATAAGAATGGTGAAGTTTTGGTTTTTGATGAAAGCATAAACGACTGGTGGAACAAGTACTTCAACAATCTGTTTAATCAGGAGCATGTGAATTTCTCATGCTTCGATCGGCTACACACCAGGGAAGAGGACCAAAACTTCAATTATTACCAAAAAATTTGAAAAATTTAGGTTGAGGAAGCCCTAAAACGAATGAAGGATAGCCGAGCAGCGGGCCTAGACAACATTCCGGATTGAAGTTTGGAAAGGTTTAGGAGGAAAAGACATTTGGTGGCTAACTAAGCTTTTTAACAGGATCCTGACGAATGGAGGAAGAGCATTTGGTTCCTATTTACTAAAATAAGGGAGATATTCAGATTGTTGAAACTACAGAGGGATCAAGCTTATGAGTCATACAATGAAGTTGTAGGAAAGAGTGGTTGAACGGAGGTTCAGACAATAGACTTTGGTGTTAGAGAACTAATTTGGTTTTATGTCAGGTTGATCAACTATAGAGGCTATATACTTGGTGAGAAGAATGATGGAGAGGTACCGAAACAAAAAGAGAGATCATGTGACTTTTATTGATTTAGAAAAGGCATATGACAGGGTACCAAAAAAGGTATTGTGTATGGTGCTCGAGAAAAAAAGAGTAAGGATTGCTTATATTCGTGCGGACGTGCGGTTAAGGACATGCACGATGTTCCCACAACGAGCATGAGAAGTCAAACTAGGATAACAAGGGAAATATAACAAGGGTCATCGTTAAGCCCGTATCTTTTTACAGTGTATTGCACATTCTTACCGAGCATATCCAAGAATTTGTACCATGGTGCATGTTTTTTGCCGACAACATCATCTTTATGAGCGACTCACGAGAGCGTTTGAATGAGAAGTTGGATTCGTGGAGGCAGGCTTTAGAGTTGCATAGCTTGTGCATAAGTCGCACTAAAACAGAGTATATGGAGTGCAAGTTTGGCAACAGAAAGAGAAATAGTAACAGGTAACATCGAGGTGAAAGTTGGAGAAAATACTATACCACGAGAGATTTAAATATCTTGGGTGTATCTTTTAAGACAATGGAAAAATAGAGGATGATGTTAATCACATGATTCAAGCCGGCTGGTCAAAATGGTAGAGTGCTTTGGGCTTTATATGTGACAAAAGTACCTTTAAAACTAAAGGGAAAATTTTACCATACTGCTATTAGACCAACTATATTGTATGAGGCAGAGTGTTGGGCAGCAAAGGGTGAACATGAACACAAGCTTAGTGTGGCGGAAATGAAGATGCTTCGTTGGATGAGCAGTCATACGCGTATGGATATAATAAGGAATGAAGATATGAGAGCTAAAGTTGGAGTGGCACCTATTGTAGAAAAGTTGGTGGAAACTCGTTTTAGGTGGTTTGGACATGTGGAGAGAAGACCAATAAAGCATCTTGTGAGAAGGTTTGATCAAATGGTGAATAGGCGTGTGGCTAGAGGAAGAGGTAGATTTAAGAGGACTTGGCAAGCTTTGATCAATGGAGACCTTCGCTTGAACAATCTCACAGCGGATATGATACATGATATGGCGCAATGGATATGATACATGATAGGGCGCAATGGCATCGTTTGATCCATGAAGCTGACCCCACCTAGTGGGATAAGGCTTTGTTGTTGTTTTCTTACTTTTTCAATCACTTGTACACTTTCTCACTTACATTTTCAATCACTTTTACACTTTCTTTCTTATTTCAAATTATCTACTCCTACCTTTTCGATCACTTCTAAATTTAACCGTAATCCTCCCAAAAGAGAAAGAGTGCCTTTTGGGGTTTGGACAGAGGGAGTATGTAAATTTTGGTGTACGGTAAAACTAAAAAAGGTTGAGTTTGCAGTAACGAGATTTGCATGAGGTAAAGGAGAACTGAGTATGTTTGTTTTGTTACGTTTGCTTTGTGTGATAAGTGTCCCAATCAGGATATTGGAGTCTTGGAGTTAGAACGTTGAAGTGAATAAAGGCAACTCCAATATGTTAATTCGTTTTGTAAATAATTATACATTTCCTCAATATCTGCTTGTTTCTTGGGAATGTTGTTTATTACTTTGTAATATGTATTATATGACCTCCAATTTGCACATATGTTTTATGAGTAGTCCTTGGAACGTCACTATTTAATTCAACATATCACTGTGCAGTTGACCTCAACTATGTTGCATGTGCTTTCTCTTTCTTCTCAAATTCACGATCATGGTGTGCACGAGTTTCTTGGCAAGGTGAGAATTTTGTTCACCTAGTAATTCACATAAATATTCTGGGTTTGGATGCTACGAAGTAAATAAAAAATGGTAAATATGCAACATTTTAAATCAAAACTAGAAACCATATTTGTCATAATGAGTGTAACACTTGCCCACCTGTCCCGGCATAAGTATCCCCTGAGTAAGAGTTTTTCAAATGAACACCTGGTCTATTATTTTCATATTGGTAATGGTGTAAATTTTGATTAGTACTATCTGTTATTTTATAGAAATCATCATTCCTCGAGGAGTGGCTTAAAGGGTTGTGCTTCTCATTGCGGGCACCAAATGATCTGCTTGATGCAGAGTACTCTTCCAACCGTGACAAAAAGAAAGAGATGATATGCCTAGCAATTAAGTCTTTAGTTGAGGTTTTTGAAGCCCATGATCTTAATGCTCTTGCTCTCAGGTATCAAAAACTGTGCAGTAGCATATGACACATCCATCTACACTATTGATTTTCTGTTGTCATATTGCTGCTAACATTCTCAAGCGGAGTATGAAAACTGGTGTTAGTTGTGGTGATGATGGATTGAATTTCTGGGCCAATGTATCTTTTTGCATCTCTGATCCTTCCCTAACCGTTTTGTTAAAAAGAAAAAGAAGTGGGATGGTCCCTCCCAGTTGGGACAGTATCCTAAGTTTGACAATACATCGAATATGATGGGACTTGTCCCAAGTGACATAGGATTGGAAAGAAATAAAAAAAACAGGGCCTAGAATTGGAGATCTTTAAAATAATCCTATGAAAAAAGTAAGTTTACTACATTTTTTTTGAACCAAAATGCAAGCATATAAACATCAAAATGATCAAATAGGAGTTCATCAAAATGAAAAAAGTAAGTTTACTACATGTTTATCCCTCTAGTAGCAGTAACAGAGCCAACATGAAATTTGATCCAGCTCACAACCTCAAAATCAGCTAATCTCTAGCCTTTGTGAATCACCATGTTTTTGGGTTCCTAAACATTGTAGCAGCAGGTAGCAAACACAACTACGACATACCTCCGTTTCTTCGTAGGTTGTATACTCTCCCAAGCTATGGATATCTCTATCAATCTGGCTTCTTTTATATCATAATTAATAAAAAAAACAATGCTTTTATAAAAGACAATATAAAAAAACAACTACAATAGAGATGTTGACAACCTTCATTAGAATTCATGCAAAGAGGATAAAACAGATCATTGTCTATAAATTTCATAAGTTTGCGTTTTGACTGAATTTTTCCCCATGGATAAGCCAAAGGATGATGGGATGTTTAGGAATGTTCAGCTTATTCCAGACAATATTTTTCCACTTCACTTTCTCTTTATCTTTACTATCCAGTGATAGGCCTTTTCTTAGTAGTATTTGATTCTCCTCTTGTGGAATATCTCTAAAATTATTTCCAACTTGTAAGAGTTTTTTTTTGAATTGTAGCAGGAGTCTGTCATATTAGCATTTATCCATTTAATCCAACGACTGTCATTAGCAATATCCTAAAAAGCTTCATACCATTGGCTTTATTCTAGTCCACTGTCATTAGCATGTACCAGGAATTTAGCACAGGTTTAGACACTAGATGTCCTACCATATGCCCCGCTAATATTTGAAGAAACTACTAGCATACTCATCTAGCCCTAGACTTTTACAATTAGGCCTCGTTTGGTACATGGAATTCAAACTTTGAATTGGAATTGAGGACTTCAATTCCAATTTTTGTGTTTGGGTGAATTAGGAATTGATAGTGCAAAAAATGAATCGAAATGGGTGAGTTTAATTCTATGGAATTGATTCCCATGGAATTTCAATTCTAATTCAATTCCAATTCCATCAATTCCGTATACCAAGCGGACCCTTAGGAATCTCAAACATATATTTTCTCACATCTTCTGGTGGGGGAATAGGTTCAATCAATAAAAGCTGTTGTTCAACACAGAGAGAGGACCATTTTCAAAAATTTTGATGTTAATATCCTCAGTCTTGATTCTAATACCCAGAGACTTTTGAAAATAATTCAAGATGCCATTAGCCTTCTGGTAGACCTGGTATATTTAGCTCCTTCAATTGGCATATCTTCCTGGGCACAATTGTGTTGGAAATCTTTGAAATCACGTCTCTTCCCAGCCAATTGAGTTTCCCGCAATCTTATCATCGATTCATATTTGAAACCGTGTTTAAATTCCTAATAAAACACCAAGCTTCTTTAATATTAAAAGCTATCCTTTTAAGATCATTCCAAATATGTCTCTTCTTATTAGAGCAGTGATAATGGGCATGACACCCATCCATGTTAAGCTCACTTTGACGCCTGGGGGACATTAAACACCGCCCCCCAACCAGTGTAGTACTCCACTTCTTAATAATTTCATCTGTATCTTCCTCCTTTTTGAAATCTTACTATATATATATATATTGTGGCTCGTTTGTATTTTAGCATTCTTTGATGATTGATTTTGAGTCGTTGGTGCTTTGCCAACTGAATGACTGGTCGAGAATCGTAACCTCATGAGGTCTTCCTCTCTTCCTCGCCATGGTAGAGAGAGAAAGACAAAAGTAGAGAAGTGTGTAATTAGTTTTATACATAAAAAATGTAAAGTTTATTCAAAGACAAGTAAATAAAAATATTTTAAATTATCCTCAAATAATGATTCAACCTATCTTTATATAAAAAAAAACTAACCCAACACATGATATTATTACACAAAAATATTACTCCCTCTGTCCTAGTTTATCCTACCCCTTTTCTTTTCATAGCGGATGCGAACATCTCTCCCTTTGCCTTATAAAAAAGAAACAGAAAAGTTGTCCTTCCACCATTGTCGGATGTTGCAACCCTTCCGGACGTCATCTACTCCTACTTCATCCAATACGGTTTATCACAACTTTTCAAGGAAAGCTTGGAATCTTATTTTTCTTGTATGCTCATTTTATAGATCTTAATATATAAAATAATTATATGTATTGGACTTTCTAGAAAAAAGAAAATTAATTATGAGTATAAAAAAATATGTGAGAAAGTCCATATTTTATATGAAGACCTGAAGGCCACAATAGCAGAATTCTTTGTATTCTAGTTTTCTAACTGCTAATTTTTAAGGTCGTTGTGTTGATTGTGCTACTCTCTCCGTCTAGAGGTTGTAATATAGTTGATGAGTAAAACGCTTAATTTTGTGCAATTTTAAAAGGATTTTTTGAAAACAATTTAATATAAGGAAATTATATGGTAGACTTAAGGTTCACTATAGGCCTACATAAATAAGTATATTTTTTTAAAACGAAAAAATAAAAAAAGTTTTTTTATGTGAGAACGTTAACAAAAATGATATATAAACTCAAGGGGTATTAAAGAAACACTCTTTGATATAATGCTAAAATATTAGGGAGTACATCCATTCAACGCAACATATATCACTCGATCTTGTTTTTTGGATATGCCTTTGGAATTGTACCCTATCCGGGGCTGGAGGGGAGGACATTTCTTTTGCACATTTGTATTATACTCCCTAAAATTAACTGGAAGTTTTTTTCCGAGTATAACATATGTGTTGACTTAATTAAATTATTTTAATTTAATACATAATTAAGGAAAATAATTATATTATTTCAATCATATAATATAAATTTAATAAATAATCAAATAAAGACCATAATTCATACGTAAAGACCTAGGGTTTCTTTTCATTCCCTCTAAAAAGTTTTTTCTTCTTCCAAACTCTGGTTGCTAGGGGGAGATGTAGATTTTTCTACAACTTGTCTACTAGTCCTCTTCATTTTTTTTCTTCTTCCATGTTAAATTAATCCCGATCTGATCATATCCCTCTTAGTTGGTGGTGTAATTTCTCAGATTTGGTTGTATCTATATATATATATTTGATGGTGGTTCCCCCCTGCCCCTATGTGGGTGTTTTTTCTTTTCTTGGTTAGAGTTGCCCTTTATGGTGACTCCGTGAAGTGCAGATCTATTAATTGTTCTGTTGTCACTACGATGTCAAAGTCAGTGGGATTCGCATCCAAAATGGTGGCTTCTTTATGCATTAACTATGAGTATAGTTATAAACTGTTTATTAATAGCACACTTAATGATGTGTAATCATCCTTTGGATATCCTTCTAATAGGACCGATATATATATGAATCCTCGTTTATGTTCTCAACCTGCTTCTAGGTCAACAATGTTTATGTGTTATGCTTTCTTTATTATATCCTTTCAAAAGCCTCTAATCAATTGTAAGTAATACTCCCTCCCTCCCAAAAAGATTTACACGTTTCAAAAAAATTGCGTCTCATAATCACTTACCCATTTCTATTAAAAAACCACTTTTACCCCTTACTTTTTCAAACCCTACCTATCACATCATACCTTTTTCTTAATAATATACACATCACATCCTACTTTTACCCATCACATCAAGGGTATTTTTGGAAAGTCAACACAAATTTATCCCTCTCTTAATTTCAACTTTAGTCAAAATGAGTAACACTTTATGGGACGGAGGGAGTAGGATTTAGAGTTTTTGTGTCATTCACCCACGAACTCTTCAAAAATATATCAGATTTCCCCTAAAATCTAAAATTTGCATCAATAATGGTCCTTGAACTTTTAAAAATGTTGCAATAATGGCTCCTCTACGCTAGATTTTAGAGCACATTAATCACACGTCCATCAATATAAATGTTAGAGTTTGATGAAGATATCATGAATTGATGAAAAGGTTGATCAATTGATGAAGAGCTTGATTGACTGATGCATGGACTTCAATTTTGGTTAGCGATGGCTAAAGCGAGAAATATTATATGAGCTTTCAAAAAGTTTAAAATACATAATATAATGTTTGGAAAAACATAATATAGAACTCTTGTGTGATATATGTGTTTATATGACTCCACGCTTGCACTAGACAAGGGTGTGATTAATGTACTCCTAAATCTGGCGCAGAGGGACCATTGATGCAACATTTTCAAAAATTTAGAGACAATTAGTGCAATATTAAAAGTTTTTAGGGAATTTGTGCAATTTTTAAAAAATTTGGGGATAAATGTCACAAAAAACTCATTTAATTTATTTTGCTTGTTATTAAAAAAATGAATAATTAAAGAAATAGGTATCACTAAAAAGTTTTGACTTCAATTTCTGGCATGTGTTCTAATTATGGTTGTGCTTTGGTTTGTCTTCATAATACGATTCTAAGTTTTGACTTCAGCGATTTATTAAAGAGGACACCGCCCCTCTAAATTCCAATATGATTTGGCGAGTGCCTTTTTAATTCTTTGTTGAGGATATAGACATACACTTTGATATAGAAGGGCTTGGCCAACATATGTTACTGGTGGAGTAATCTTCTATCCTAATGTATCGACTCATGATTCTCTTATTTAATAAATGAGATATGACTTATTTGGTGCGAGGCTTAATTCATTTGGGGAGCATGCGGTACTTTGTAGAGAGCTACTCGGGCTTAAGTACCAACATGAATTGGTCTGAGAAGTTCCCTTTGACATATTCTGACGTGCCCGGATTTTTGTCAAGGAAGAAGCACTTGTGAATTTCTTCACTGACACGTTGGAAGGAAGATCCACATTCAGACCAGCTGGCGTTTTAGTCTTTGGATGGATGCAGGGAAACATTTTTA